AACCACTCGCCCATGGTGCCAGCCCCTATATAAAGATTTGAGTTTAATATTTATAAAGTTCTTATGTTCTCAAAGTTTATTAACCTCATAATTTAAAAAAATTTTAAAAGATACTATGGAACTGAAATACATGAAATACTGAGTGTTTGAGGTGAGGCAGAGAATCCCACTTAGTTAACATATATAAACAAATACACCTGGTGAAGAAACATCCCCCTTTCCTTGGTGGAATCACAGCTATCATTTGAAGAATGATTAAAAGCAATTTTGTATTGTGAAATTGTTGCAATAATAGAATTTTGAAGAGTCACTCATTTGGTAAGTCATCAAATAGTGTCTTTCTTGACTTTTTCCCGGGCAAATCTATCCTCTTTCTCCTATAGTTCATACAGAACACCACTGTTATAGCATTTATAAGATTATACTATAATTATTTGGCTATATGTCTATGTCTCCCACAGCATCTAGTCCAGGGCCTAGTATATAAGTGAGCAATAGATCCTTATGAAAGAATGAATGAAAGAAGCGAATGTAGGAGCATATTTGAAAATAAATGTAGCTTGCTACTTGAGTCCCCAAAACGTTTGATCACTCACTAAACCAAAGACCCATCAGTCCTTATTTCCTTTGGATAGGAAATAATAACTTAGCAGGAAGCCCAAAACAGAGTATAGGCTTTGAAAAAGTAATCAGTAAGGAATTTGCCCCTGTTTGTTGAAGAGACCTGATGTGATGCAGGTGGATTCCAGGAACGATGGCCCAGAGCTTGGAAGTTACCTAAATCTTAGTATGATTATGCTAAGTTTAGAACAACGGATGTGAAGAAGTAAAGTGTAAAATTAACCTATCAACTTCTGAGTGAGAGCCAGAAAGAATCAGGTCAAAGGCACCAATAGGACGTGCATGAAGCCCAAACCATAGAGACTTCTAAGAGGGGCAAAGAAGGTAACTACAAGATCAACTAATACTCAGGGAGTAAGATTTGGGCTAGATAGAGAAATACCTTCCTTTGGGCAAGGGATTTAATGCTAGTGGACTGGTATCTGGAAACTAGGAGCACATTACAATCTGAGGCTAGAGGGAATGGCCAAGGAGATAAAAAACAGGAAGCAGGTTCTGGGAAGGATTGAGGTACCCATCCCACCTAGTAAAGCATCAACCCAAATCAATCTCAGAAGTTTGAGAGTCTGGACTTGGCATTTACCTCAGATAGGGCTGAGTAAGGGGAGGGAGCCAGGGGCTCAGTATTTTGTAATAGTCAAGCTAATTTGTGGCTATATTTTAGAAATTAATTAGGATCTGAGACCTATATTCAATAAACTTGCTAATTTCTATGTATTTATATTTTACTTTTCCATTTTTTCAGTAAAGTTTCTTTAGAAAATTCCAATCTTACACTTGAATTAAGAAGAAAAGAGATCTTCTACATTATAGCTAGGATGGAAGGAGGGGGAGATCTGTATATTCCTAAAGCCAGATGCAATGTTAATCGCTCTGGGAGTTCAGGCCTTGCTGGCATAAAATATGGGTGCCTAGGAGAAATAGAGAAAAGTCAGCTCTGACTGTTGGTCCTTTCCTCTTTGGTTGATTCCCTCTCGATTTAGGTCTACATAACTGCCATAGAAATTGAGTGTCTGGACTTGGTGTTAGTAAAAAGGAAGGAAGGTTGCTTTTGAGCTGGACAAGATTTGGCTTGGCTGTAGTTACTCACAGACCATTCCTGGTAAAGGAAAAAAGTACACACACACACAAACTAGGCTTTGGGTTTGTACGTGGCAATCCGCTATCTAAGATACATTCTTTATTTATAAATTTACCCCTTTGTGGCTTGATTTAAGACTATTAATTTCCCATTGGTGCTATAACAAATTACCACAAACTTAGTGCTTAAAACAACACGTATTCATACTCTTACTGTTCCAGAGGTCAGAAGTCCAAAATGAGCCTTATGGCTATTAAGAGGTAAAATCAAAATCAAGCTGTCAGCAGGGCTGGTCTGCTCTGGAGGTTCCAGGGGGAGAATCCATTCCTTACTTCCTCCAACTTCAAGAGGATAAGGCTAGTAGCCTTATTACTTCAATCTCTTGCTTTCATCATCACATCTACTTTTATAGGTGGATCTCCCTCTGGCTCCCTCTAATAATGACACCTGTGGTTATATTTAGAGCCCATCTGGATAATCCAGAAAAATTCTCCCCATCTCAATCTCCTTAATTAATCATATCTGCAAAGTCCCTTTTGCTCTATGTTCACAGGTCCCAGGGATTAGGGCCTGGATATCTTTGGGGCTATTATTCAGCCTTCCACAGTCCACCCTCTGGCCCCTAAGGATTCACATTCCTCCCATATGCAAAGTGCATTTACCCCATCCCAACATCCTTTAAACTCCCAACACATTACAGCATTAACTCAAGTCCAAAATCTCTTCTAAATATCATTAGCCCAAAAGTCCCATCACCTAAATCAGATAGGGGTGAGAATCTGATCCGTCCTAAGGCAAAATTCCTTTCCATCTGTGGACCTTTGAAACTAGAAAACAAGTTAACTGCTCTCAAAATACAGACATAGAATACAAGTTATAGACATTCTCATTCTAAAAGGGAGACAATGAAGGAAGAAAGGAGTCAGTGGCCCCAAGCAATTTTGAAATCCAACTGGGCAAACTCCATTAGGTTTCAAGGCATGGCTTGAGGCTATGCCCTCTGAGCCCAAGGCGCCTCCCTTGAAGTCTCCTTCTTTTTCCTGGAAGGGTAGCACTTGTTTGCAGCTGAGTAGTTTAATGGTCTTGAGTGTAGAATTTTGGAAGTCCAACACCCTTCTTTCATCTTGTCCTCTTTCTGCTCCTTTCAGTCCAAGTTGGCAGTGTTTCTGCTGATATAACATTCTCAAAAGCTTTGTGGGTCTTGCATGTATGTCATGGGGGTTCACATGATTAGAGAAGAGGGTCCTCCCCAAGATCTTTCCTGGCTAATCCCAACTCTATTCCTAAATTATGCCGAGATGGTTGAGTGGATCCATGAGTCACATGCCTGATCTCTTCAAAGACCCCTGTGTGAATGAGTACTCTGATCTTTTGATCTTTCCGAAGCACTAGCAAAAGGCTGTCTAGCCACATCCTTGACCTTTTTTTTGCCAGAACATGCTTTCCTGACAGCAAATCTCCTAACTTTATCATCTTTTCCAATCTGGATAGGCTGAGAATTTCATCAAGTCCTGGTTCCTTTTTGCTTAACCGTTCTTCCCTCCATTTATCTCTTTCCTCTCGCATTTTACTATAAGCCTGGTTTACTTACTGAAACCAGGCCATGATTTCAATACTCTGCTTGAAAAGCTCCTCAGCTAAATATCCAAGTTCATCATTTATAGTTCTGTTTTTCACATAACTATAGGAAACAATTCAGCTAAGCTTTCTGTCACTATATAAGAAGGATCCTTCTGCTCAAGTTTCCAATAACATGTTCCTCATTTCCTTCTGAGCCCTCACCAGCAATGCCTTTAGCATCCATATTTCTACCAACAGTTCGTATAAGGCAATCTAGACTTTTTCTATTATGTGACTCAAAATTCTTCCACCCTCTATTATCCAATTCCAAAGCCACTTCCACATTTTTAGATATTTGTGATAGCATCACCCTACTTCCAAGTATCAAAATCTGTATTACTTTCCTATTTGTTCTGTAACAAATTACCACAAACTTAGTGGCTTAAAACAACACATGTTTATTCTCTTACAGCTCTGGAGGTCAGAAGTCCAGAATGAGTCTTATAGGAATAAAAACAAAATCAAGGTGTCAGCAAGGCTGGTTGCTTCTGGAAGCTCCAGGGGAAAACCTGTTCCTTGCCAATTCCAATCTCTAGAGGCTATGGGCACTCCTTGGAAATCTTTGGCTCATAGCTGCATCACTCCAATCTCTCGTTGCGTGTCATGACATCTCCCAGTTCTACAGTCTGATCTCCCTCTGCCTTCCTTTTATTAGGACACTTGTGATTACAATTTAGGGTCCACCTGGATAATCCAGGATAATCATCCTCATGTCAAACTCCTTAATTTAATCATACATGCAATGTCTCTTTTGCCATATAAGGTAATGCTCACAGGTTCCAAGAATTAGGACCTGGATATCTTTAGGGGTCGTTATTCAGCCTTACACAGGGCATTTTAGAAACTGTGTTTATCCTTTTTTTTTTTTTAGTTAACAGTGTAGTAATTTGTTTAATGTGAAATTTGTAATAACTTGTGTAAATTTGTAAATTCTAGTAATTTTTTAATGTGTCTATCACTAAGCTTAATATATAAATTGAATAAAAATAAGTCCTAATTAAAAGTAAGTATTAGACTAAGAAGCGGATTTTTTTTTTTTTGAGGAAGATTAGCCCTGAGCTAACTACTGCCGATCCTCCTCTTTTTGCTGAGGAAGACTGGCCCTGAGCTAACACCCATGCCCATCTTCCTCTACTTTATACGTGGGACACCTACCACGGCATGGCTTTTGCCAAGCGGTGCCATGTCCGCACCCAGGATCTGAACTGGCAAACCCCAGGCTGCCGAGCAGCGGAATGTGCACACTTAACCGCTGCGCCACCGGGCCGGCCCAGAAGTGGAATTTTTAAACATTGTCAACCAATTCATTACATGGCAAAGCATAAAAGACCTAAAAACAAGTTCCTTGGCTATTATTCTACATAAAATTAGCATGTACTCAAAATGGAAATATAGGTCCCAAGGGGAGAACATTTTAGTTAAGTATACGCTTGGAATGAAGATACATTATTACCTGTTAACAGCCATGCCCTATGTACCAAAGAGTTCATAAAACACACCTAAAATTATCAAGCCCGTTCAGGATATATAGGGTTATAGATTTAGATTCCAGAGACTCTAAATTCCTTCTCAGATCCAGTTTAATGAAGCAATACAAGACTAACAAAAAATAAAAAGGAAGGAAACCAGCCTGTATCGAATAATGCTTTCATTCTAGCAGGCTGGCTGATCTCCTTACCTAGGCTGGAATAAATATGGCTGAGAATACGAGCTGGTTGTACTCTGATGGGATACACCTCAGCAATGGTCTCCACGTCAATTCCCTTGTTCTTCAAAATGGCCTTGATTTCTTCTGTCTCAGCTAGAATGGAAACTATAGGAAAGAAAGAAGATGAGGCCAACAGAAAATTTTACTTTAATAGGAACCTGGAAATCTCTCAAGCCACATAACTTCTTTCGAAGGAAAGAGAAAGGAAAGGGGAGGAAATTAACAGTTATTGAGGAACACTGATGAAACAAGTATCATGCTAGGTACATAATGATATCTAAATGGAAAAGAAAAAAGATCTCATGACTAGAGTATTAGATTCTGCTTTCTGGCTAAGTACCTATGTGTTCCTAGAGATCTATGTCAAACTCTCTTTATATCTGGGGTTCCATGTTTAAACAGGGGAAAAAAAATCCAACATGAGGTGTGTTACAGCTTTTGTAAAAGTTGATTCCCCAAGGCTCTTTTATTTCTCTACCCATAAGACCAGGGCCAGGATTATGAGGGCAACGAAGAACACCCTAATGATAAGAATTGCTCTATAGCTAAAGAATGGTAGAAGGCAAGGTAAATTGGGGATAAAGAATTGAGGTTCCATAGCCGAAATCATGTGTGGTTGTTTTGGGGGGTGGGAGGATGGGGATAATAGTTCTCTAGATTCAGAGCCCGCCAAGCCTGGACAGCTCTCTTTTCTTCCTCTTACACTCATGTCTCTGAAGCGGTAATCAAACTCACAAGGGAGGAGGCCAAGCCAGTTCCCCAACTCTTGCATTTACTCGACCTCTGTGGGACAGATACCTGGCTGGGGGCCAATAATCTGAGTGTGGCCTCAGCTGGCTTGACACTAAGCATCAGGGGAAAACATGCCCTATTCTTGTTCCTCTGGTGCTGGTAGATGTGTTGAATTGGGTTTATGGGAAAATGAAGGTACCACTTGGTTCATTCCAGCTTACCAGCAGTCTCTATGTTGAGTTTTTGGGGCAAAAGTATAGTTAACAAAGTGCTACTTCGCTTTCCTCTGCCATTATCTTTTGTGTACTCTTCTATCTTGGGAACCTCATAGTGTTGTGTTGCTGTGGTCTGGGAAGGATATGCAGGATATGGTGATTAGAGAGTCCCCTGGGCATAACACTATCTTGATTACTTCAAACTGAAAACATGAAAATGACAAAGATTCTTCAGGGAAAACATACAGAGGAAGAATGATAGCAGGCTGAGAAAAGTCCAGGGAAACACATGTGGTCATCCATTCATTCATTAATAAACATTTACTAAGCATCTAAATAGATAAGGTACTATGTTAGGGACTAAGGATATAGAGATGAATAAGTTAGTCTCTCTCTCAAGGATTTCACAGTGTAATGGAAGTGACACACACAAACTAATTATAAAATAACCTGCTAGGTAAATAGAGATATACACAAAGCATTATGAGATCATCAAAGAGTGACGTCTATCTAGTTTGGGGTTGGTAGAGAGTGGTTTTAGAAAAGGCCTCCTGAATCAGGGGACTAACATCCATATCTGCATCTTAAAAAGAATATATTCATGTTGATGATTAAAGAGTAAACAGACTATAGTGGGCCTAGACTGAAGACAGGGGGACCACTTAAAAAGTTATTGAAGAAAAAAAAAAGTTATTGCAGTAATGCAAGGAAGAGATGCTGACTACCCAGATTAGGATCATGACATTGGTACTAGAGAGAACAAGATGGACTTCAGAATTATTTATATAATGTTTGCTATATACATTGATAAGCAAAGACTGCCTGTATAACCACACAGGATGCCAACTATAAGTAGGTTTAGAAAACACATAGGATTATTTTCCATATAGAACCAATCCCCAAGCCAAGTGACTGGAGACAATTCAGAGGAGCGTCACAGCAGGACTTAGTACCATATTGAACAGTGTTGTTGGAGAGTCAAAAATCACCTCGAGCTTTCTACCCTAGAAGACTAGGATAATAGTGATGTCACTGAGAGAGACAAAGAAGGTGGAAAGATCTGTTTTTCTTGGGAGAGGTAAAAGGATGGGATGGAGACAAAAGAGGTCAGTTTTGCATTTGAAGTATAAGTGTTTTATAGGTATTGGGACTAGAATTCTTAATGTTTGTAGAGCTTAGCCCGTGTTTTGCACAGAGTAGACACCTCAAAATTTAAGTTGATCATTAGGAACAAAGAATAAAGGTTTGTAGTACTCTCCAAAGAGGTAATAGTTGGAGCCATGGAAGCAAATTTATTTTGAAGGAGGCAACCCTGGCAAACTAATACAGGGTGTAAATTCAGAAAGACAAGAGTATAAAAAGATCAAGTACTCAACCATTAGGAGGATATGAGAAAACAGGAGTACTAGCGGAAACAGCACAGAAAAAATGCTCAGAAAGAAAGCAGAGATAATCAGGAGGCTACAATACCACGATGATGAAAAGAAAACAGTTTCCAGAAGTAAGGAGTGGTTAAGGGTACCAAATAACATTTATTAAGCATTTGTTCATGATTAAGATTAATAGCAATTTTGAAACCAAACAGAACCAAGTTCATTCTATACTTTTTTTTTTTTAAAGATTGGCACCTGAGCTAACAACTGTTGCGTCTTTTTTTTTTTCTGCTTTATCTCCCCGAATCCCCCCAGTGCATAGTTGTATATTTTAGTTGTGGGTCCTTCTAGTTGTGGCATGTGGGACGCCGCCTCAACGTGGCCTGATGAGCGGTGCCATGTCCGCGCCCAGGATCTGAACCAGCGAAACCCTGGGCTGCCGAAGCAGAGCACGAGAACTTAACCACTCAGGCACGGGCTGGCGCCTACTTTTTGAAGCCTAACAAAATGCATGATAAAGAATAAAGTGATCATTTACTGGCCCAAACCAGATCTTTAAAGTTTCTGCTGCTGGGAATAAGAATACATACCTTGAACCACAACATCTGGCTTTGGTACAGTAGAAAACCTACGATTCAGGGGATCAATTTCTCCAGGAGCTAAAAATCCCTAAAGAAAAACCATAAAAAGACAGATTATATCTCAAAAAAAAATCTAATGTTGGAGGAAAAACAACACGCCAGTACCATAACCCTGCACCATAACATGTGAGAGGCAGGTATGGAAAGGAAACAAATACCCTCACTGTATGAAAACGTTTGAACTCCTGAATTCACATCCAAATTAATTTTATCTGGAGTTAATTTCTAGTGGCTGTCACAAATCCTTTTTGGAAATAGATGGGATATAAATGATAACTAGAAAGTTTTCTAGTTACACCCCCACCTTCTCTGGATGTACATGATTAGCCAATCAGACCACAATGCTTATTATCAATAATTTAAGTTATTAGTTCTGTTGCTTTCTCATTTATTCACATGTCTGCTATGCTTTCTGCTCAGCAGATATCTTTTGACCTGACTTGAGTTTCTGTCCTTGATGAAATGGAAATGGATGAAACTCATCCATTTTCCCCTTAAGAATAACATTCATCTCCTTCTTTTTTCATAGCACTTAATTTGTTCTAATTGAATGAGAAAGTCACTGGCATGGATTATTTTAAACAAAGCATCCTGTCCATTACTGCTACATTCATAATAATGTCAATTAAAGATAATCAAACCTTTATGCTATATGCCTGAAACTCATAGTGATAGATGTCAATTATATCTCAATAAAACTTGGGGGGAAAAATCCCAAAACAGAACAAACAAAAACAGCTGCAGAAAGTAAATAGTCATACATAAACAGGTCAGAGTCTAGCTCAGAAAGGATAACTAAGTCCCATCCTAGATCCTCAAGGACCCTGTGTTATAGCTTACCATAATAATCTACAATGGGGAAATAGATTTGTTGGTAAATCTGAAAAACTTTGAAAAAGGGAACCCTTTTCACAGGGTCAAAATGTCACAAATAAGCTGCACATAAAGTAAGAAATTCGCAAATGCCTCGTTAAGAACTGTCTCAACAGAATTTAATATAAGGAACATTTAAAGAGCTCCTTATGAAAAAACAAACAAAAAACTATGATGTTCCCAACCACTTGTCATGGTGCCTAAAATTATCTTATCAGTTTATTCAATTAAAGAATAAAATGTTGGGGCCAGCCCGGTGGCGCAGCGGTTAAGTGTGCATGTTTCGCTTCAGCGGCCCAGGGTTCGCCGGTTTGGATCCCGGGTGCGGACATGGCACCGCTTGGCATGCCATGCCGTGGTAGGCGTCCCATATATAAAAAACTAGAGGAAGATGGACACGGATGTTAGCTCAGGGCCAGTCTTCCTCAGGAAAAAGAGGAGGATTGGCAGCAGTTAGCTCAGGGCTAATCTTCCTCAAAAAAAAAAAGAATAAGATGTTGCTTGGAAAAGTTAGCACTTAAATCCATTAACAGTCATTAGTATCTAAGCACAGTTGCATTCATGAGTCACCAGGCAAGGCACTAGGGGGCGTTCTGAAAGGGAAAGATCTAGTGCCTGATCCCAGAGCAGCTCCAAGTATAGTGCCAAGGCAGGAAGCCCTGGGCAGCATAGGGGACATGGTTGCTGGGGGAAAGATTTTTGTCAAGGATTGGCCATACTCCCACTCTAAGCACCTGGAAGAAAATCTATAATTAAGGCAGAACACGAAAGGCAGAAGACATATCCTTCAGATTTAATAAGCTACTCACAAATCTGATTATGGTGGCTAAAGCAGAAAAAAAAGCGAAAGAACATTGAAATTTCCCCTTACCTCTGCCATCAAGCTTCCTAAGATGTATAGAGACTGACCCCACATATGAGGCAACTTGCCCATGGGGATTCGGTCCACAGTGTGAGGATTCTGATATTCTTCATCAACCTAAAAGAAAAGATAAAGAGGTCACACAAAGGGTAATGGAAGATTTAAGATACTAGCCAACAAAAAGGCGGAGTCTGGACTGTGATTCACACCCTATAAAACAGTCATATATGCAATACACTGAAAAGTCAAGCACTATGACTACAGTCTAGGGCAGCGCTCCTCTAATTGTATGTGGACACAAATCACCTGAGGATCTTGTCCAAAAGCAGATTCTGACTGAGTAGGTATGGGGGAAGGCCTGAAATATGCATTTCTAACAAGCTCTCAGGTAATGCTGTTGACATTGCTAGGAACTTATTCCACCCTTCCCCACCAGAATGGAAGACTCTCTCTCCTATGGCTAATGCTCTTTTGCAGTGGAGAAGAGGAACAATGGTACTCTCGACTGGCATTTTGGGAAAATGGAGACATAATTCATTTTCCAAGCCTGATCTGCTCAAAGAATCCCAGATTACTGGCCTCAAAGCAGAGAATACCAAATCCTGAGAGTTCACACAGAACATCACTCTAGTTCTGACTACTGATCTCCATATAATTCTCAACCTTAAGGTTGGATTTTTTTTTTCTTTGAGGAAGATTAGCCCTGAGCTAACATCTGCTGCCAATCTTCCTCTTTTTGCTGAGGAAGACTGGCCCTGAGTTAACATCTGTGCCCATCTTCCTCTGTTTTATGTGGGACACCTGCCACAGCATGGCTTGACAAGTGGTGCATAGGTCTGCACCTCGGATCCAACCTGGTGAACCCCGGGCCGCTGAAGCAGAACATGCGAATTTAACTGCTGTGCCACCGGGCCAGCTCCGGACTTTTTTTTTAATCAATCTCTGAACAATTTATTTTTTTAAATCGAAGTTTGGTTACATACAAAAAGGTCAAATATATTTAATGCGTGCATCTTGATGAGTTTGAGGATAAGTATACACCCACGAAATTACCACCATAAGGTTTGGTCTTGGCCTTGTCTCACTATACAACAGTACCGTAACTGGGACTGCTTTAAAAATTTATTTTCAAAAGAATAAAATCATATTTTTATCATCCTATACCTAAGATGAACTTTTAGGACATTAAAATCAGAAGATCAAAAATTATTTGACTCAAACAAGGCAGTCCTATCAAGGTACTGCTCCTCTTCTCCCAGCTCCATGTTATCACACTGTCCAGTTCACCTTGTCAGGAGGAACACTATACAGCTCTGGCAGAAGTGGGACTCCATTTTTGCCCTTGATGAGGACTGCTTCAAGAGCCTCTCTGTATTCTTGAACCTGTAGATAAAAGAAAGGGAGAAAAAAAATTTAGAGAGAGTTCCCTTTTGGAATCTAGGTGAGGGTTGTAGCCAAAGAAGGTCCTATTGCAAAGGAGCGTATTCACCTAGTAAAATGGAGAGGAAAGGGAAGTAGTATTTACTAAATGCTTACTGAAGGCCAGACATATGCTAGGAGTTTTGCATACTTTAATGCATTTAATTTTAATAACCATCCTAGAAGGTATGTGTAAAGCCTTTTTACAGGGAAATTAAGATTCAAAGAGGTTATGAACTTGTGAAGGATCACAGAGCAAGTACAAGGCTGAGCCCAGATTTGAGCCCAAGTCGGCCTGCCTCCACCGGCCTGTTTTTATCCACTGTGTACTACCTTAGGTATAGCTTCTTGACTTTACGTGTATTGGCTTTTAAAATTGCATTTTACCTGCCAAATTAAGTTTTGTTTAACAATTTGCTGTAGATTAGTAATAGATAAAAACTTAAAAAACACTATAATTTACGGTGGAAAAAATATGGTCAGTTCAGCTATAACAGTTGTTTTGAAAATTTGTTCCAATGCATTTGCTGTATTAGGAAACAATTTGAGCATAGCATGAATTTCACATTTGCTTATGTACAATTTCACCCTGAGAATGCACTCATCTGACTGAGCCGTGCAAGAATACAAAAAATACACACATGCATATACCTTAGGAGGACAATGAACCACATCCATCCATATGTGGTGTTACAACTTTCTGTCCAATTTCAGGTAATCCTCCTTCCACCTCTTCATTATAACTCCCGAGCTGCTCCCTTCTCATGGCCACCCTGACTGCATGGCTCTATGCCTTCCCTTCTCTTTAATTTCCCCCCCTTTCTTCACAGTTGTATCTTTTATTCTTCCTTTCTGTTTTATATTCTTTCTCTCTTTTCTCTCACCTTTTGCTATCCCTCCTTTGTTCTCTTTCTCTGGCACACAGGGTGGCGAGCACAGGTGCCCAGTGGGTGAGCTGGCAGGAATATGGGTGCACACATCCATAAGCAAACTTCTGGTCTTTTTCAAGGTACAAGTGTCACAGCTATTGTGGTATCCATGTGTTCCTTAACCATTTAATATGCATAAAGCTGTGATACTGTTTTTATTAGGTTCTTATCATTTAGTGCATAATTCTGACAAACTTTTTAAGTGTTGTGCCCCCAACCCCATTTTCCTATAAGCCCTATAGTTTTTACTTCTCGAATATGCAAAACATGGTGATGTTTTAGGAACATATATGTCTCATTAGAGCCAAAGTGACTGTACGCTGCACTTATGACATGTCTGTATCTGTGAAATTCAAAGAACTTTAGGGATATCTTCCTCAATAAAGAGACAAAAACTATTCTCATTGTATGTACAGAGAAACCAAAGAAGTCAATGACAATACTTGGGCTACTCAATGGTCCGTAGTGAAACCAGAAAAAAAAAGAATAAAAAGAATCTAGGTCTTCCAACTCTTCCTCCCCGGCCCAGAGTTCAAAAAACCTGAATGTGCTCTGTACCTAGTAGGTACATTTGATAAATAAATCTTTCTTTGAGCAAGCAAAGTTTTTGAAAAACAATGTTATGAAATTCGACTGAGAAAAATGGTAGAATCAAAATAGGGTGGTCAAAATAAGGCAGGTTATTTCTACTATTGTTTATCTTATTTGCTTGCTCAAAGGATACTCCATAATTTATTAAAATTTAGATTAAAATAGCACTTTGTGGCCCTTGAAACTCTGTGTGTAACCCAATTCTCTAAATTCATATTGGCAGTTACAGATTAATATTGGCCAAAGCATTCAAATTACACAAAATTGTATTTTATGAAGCCAAGTATAAGAGACTTCCAAATGCATTGGATTTATGTCTAAGTTAGACCATAGCCAATTTGTAAAATGCCTGACAATAAACTTACTTGATTAAATTTCCCAGTCTCACTGTTTTCCAAAATTTCTAAACTACATTACTCATATGGCTCAAAAACAATGATAACCGTGTTTTTGGGGTGAGTAGAGGGTATGAACGGGTTGTTGTTGTCGTTTTGGGTGGTTTTGTTTTTTGCTAAATTCAGAACATCATTTCCAAGATTTATTTTAAAAAAAAGACATGCAAAGTCAGGAGGTAAATTCAAGTATCTCTGATGACTGAGGCAAGTAAACAGGGCTTGCTATTTTGCTTTCTGTATCTGTTAAAAGCCAAGTCTGAGTGATGGTAATACCTAGGTCTTCCAACTCTTAACCTAGTGCCCTCTCTCTAGAAGATAGCTCTGTCTCCTCCCTATTAGGGAAGACTTCCATTTGGATACAGGTTGGCACAGCCATTAACTGAGAGAGAAAGACATAGTAAGAACATTCTGCTGAAAAGCTCTTTTCCCTGTTCTGCATTGCCTGTTCTGCATTACCTGTTCTACATTGCCACTGAAGACTCCATCAAGGATAAAGTACGTCCAGAACAATGGCCACTCACACTCAATGTTTTCAAATAACTTCAGCTCAGCTGGTTCATAGTACAGACGATTGGGATCCTGGTAAAAACACAATGAACAAAGTCTCTTATCATTCCAAGGTCAGACGTACATCTTTAGTTCAGAGGTATTACAACATAGCCTTTCACTACTGATAGTTTGTTTCAGAGAAGGCGGAGCATGTATATACTCTCTTCCCCTAGCAAGTACTTTGTGATATGACTTCTAACTAGTGGAACTGGGATAATAATGACACTATGGATAAGTGTATGAAGAAATGAGATTAATTTGTAACAAACTTGAGTTTGGTTTTATACTTGTTAAGTTTGAGGTAGCAGCAGAACATACAAATAGGAATGTTTACAAGGAAAGCAAGAGATGAGGGTTTGGGTCGTATTCTCATAGAGGTGACACATGAAGCACAAGGTATAAATGTAGTACCTATATATAATGAACAAATGGCCCAAGAACAGAATCTCGGTAAATCTGCATAGTTTGGTGAGGGAAAGACAGAAAGAGAAGAATTAGGATGGTGTAGTGTTGTGGAAATTAAAATAGGAAAAGAACTTCAAGAAAACGTAGGAGTAGGTAACAGTGACATACTACAGAAAAGTCAAGGAGACTAAGGATTGAGAAAAGGCTATTGGATCAGTCACTTAGATGATTATGATGTTTCAGAGCATAATTTTAATAGATTGGTAGGGGAAGAAGTCAGCAGGGCTAAGGAATAAAGTGGAAGAGAGGAAGTAGATCAGAAGAGTTTGAGCTCAATGATTAAAAAGAAATTATAACTGCTCTTGACCAGCAAACCTAAGCCTTAAACGATGTTTGCATTGCCAATGAAAGTGCTTCTTATTGACCGTTCATTCCCTTTAATAATACTTAATTTTCTGCATTGATATTTCCAAGGAAAATTTTTGACAAGTGGAACAAAAGGAACTTTTCAAAGTCAAGTACTGTTTAGAACTAACCAAATGCAAAAGGTGGAAGAGGGCCAGAAAGATCTACTGATGGAAAGATTTTTTTCCTCTTTGATGTTATATTCTATTTCCACTTAAAATTTCATTCAATGATTTAAGAATCCATCAGTAGCTCTTTCCTGAAACTAACCAACTACAAGAAGTGGGAGGACTACACTTTCCTGTATTTCATTTAATCCAGAAAGGCTCACAAACAGAATTTGGCAACCAAGCCCAACAAAGGTAGCAAACGTCAGTTATGATTATCCTATTTAGTGACTATTTTAAGTACCATCAGTGAGGTAAGTATTTTCTCTGAATGAGGCTGCAGGTAGTAGTGACCATTCTACCTTGGATTCATTTTGGAGAAAAGAAACCTACCTCTTTAGGAGTTTTATATCCATCTCGTAGAAAGCGACAGCAACCATAACGACCCTGGAAATTCGGAGAAAAAAGGTCAGAAGCATGTACATTGGTACAGCCATATTATTAATCAGAAATGCATCATTTGCAACAGCTACATGTGCCAACTTATCACCAATACTGACATGATACTTAAAAAATAATAATTAAAAAAACCCTGATAACAGCCCAACAGCAGAAACTGATTTCAGCAATGTGATTTCAACTGAGGGCTAAGTTACAGGCTCTTCCCTAAAGCAGAGCTCCTAACACTATCCTCTCCACGGCCTTCCACCACAGGGTAAGCCTGTGACAGCCCAATTACTAATCTATACGGTCCTGCTCACATAGCTCATAAGAGACCATAGGCTTTTTGTTTTAAAAAGAAGAAAACATTTTTAAAATTTAGATAATTTGAGACTTACAGAAGAGTTGCAAAAACAGTACAGCGAGGCCCCACATACATACCCTTCAATCACTGACCCCTTACATTAACATCTTACATAACCACAGAACATTCATCAAAACTAAATTAACCTAGGTACAACACTATTAACCAAAGTACAGAGCTTATTTGGATTTCACTAGCTTTTCCACTAATGGTTTTTTTTCTGTTCCAGTATCCAATTCAGGATCCCACTGCATTTAGTTGTCGTGTCTCCTTAGTGTCTTCCAATCTGTGACAGTTTCTTAGTCTTTCCATGTTTTTCAGCACTTTGACACCTTTTTTTTTTACCTTGACACCTTTAAAGAGTGTTCGTCAGTTATTTTGTAGAATGTCCCTCAATTTGGCTTTGTCCGATATTTTCTCATGATTAGACTTATGTTATGCATTATTAAGAAGGATACCACAGAGGTGCTGTGCACTTCGCAGTGCACTGTATCAGGAGGTACAAGATGTCAATATGTCTTATTAATGGTGATGTTAACCTTGACCACTTGGTTAAATCACTGACACAGGTCATACTCAAGGCCCTAAAATATACTACTTTCCCCTTAAAGTCAGAGCCCTAAAGAAAAGAAAGGCACATATGGACATACCTGAAGCTTGGTGATGATTTCCTGTTTTGTGAGCTCCACCAACTGGTTATCCTCTACTGCAAAGGCTGGGAAGGAAACAACTGAAAGTAGACTAGCATCAACCTCTTTGGATGTTGAAGCCCGGGGGAGTATTGAATTAAGGATAGACTGAGAGAAAGGAAGTCAAATGTGGGACATTAGTAAATCACTCAAGATTATAAAACTAACAGCTTTAGTTTTAAAAGATTTATGTGGAAGAGGATCATTCAGAAGAAAATCTAAACATTATTCAATAGCGACAGCTTAGAAAAATAGGCATTTCTGTAAGTCATCACTTGTCTTAATCCTGCTCTCAATACTTCCCAATCCTGATTCTTAAGCAGTTACTCATGGATAAAGAATACTAACATCATTGTCCCACCCGCAATCCTGTTGCTCCATTAGCACCTATTTAAGCATAAAGAGAAGAGAAAATGAAGCTGCTGAGAAGCAGGATGTCATAGGCTCAGCTCCTATACCCCTGACATTTATCTTTCCCATGGAAAGGTGAGTTTATATTCAATAGAACACTATAGGTGTTTAATCGTGGTTTGAAGAAGAGGAGAAAAGTCATCCGGACAATGAGAAGAATCTTAATCTTTCAGTACAGAAAGTAATCCTAAACAAAACAGAAGATACACATTTAACACTTAGTCATCTCCAAACATCTAACCTTAGAGCCAACTGGGGACAAGAGAATGTTTCAGAACCACTATCAAGAAGAACACTCAAAATTGATCACCTCTTGTTCTCTTGTTATATTTAGAAAAGGAGATACTCAGGAGCAGAGCCCACAGACCTTGATATGAAGACAGTGGAGAATTCCATATACTATGGTGGGATCCCTTTATAACCCTGGGTGAGAGAACAGGACTACAATCTATGTTATAGCTCATGCTCTATCAGGCTTATCTCAGTATAGGATGCTTGATAAGACATTTTTGACACATGGTAACAAATCAGATTATGTACTTTCATTTAGGTCTTATTTTAAAGCCCACAGTAAGTCTGAGTCCGAGTAAGAATAAATTTTCTATAACATGGTCCATTATTCTCTTACCTGGCAGTGTTGTACTTCATCAGCTAGGACATGGATAACTGATTGGGGCCCACCTTTCACACCAAACAGGTCCAGTTCATCTAATGCTTCCAGGGCTGCCTGTGAGGAGCAAAGAAGGAAAGGACAACTTCAGCATTAGAAAGATGTATGCTTCTTTTCCCTGTACTCCAGTGTCATATCAATGCACATGATGTCATTTTGAATATGTTAAGCAGAACAGAAAATACAAAAACATTCTTTTTTTTTTTGGAAGATTAGCCCTGAGCTAACTGCTACCAATCCTCCTCTTTTTTGCTGAGGAAGACTGGCCCTGAGCTAACATCGTGCCCATCTTCCTCTACTTTATATGTGGGACACCTACCACAGCATGGCGTGCCAAGCGGTGCCATGTCCACACCCGGGATCCAAACTGGCGAACCCCGGGCCGCTGAAGCGGAACGTGCGCACTTAACTGCTGCGCCACCAGGCCGGCCTCAAAAAACATTCTTTATTCCCAGGGACCTCTGAGTTTTTTTCTCTGCCCCTCATATTGGCCCAGAGACAGTTAAGAGGAGGTTGTAGCCATCCTTTCGTGATAAAAACTCTCAACAAATTCAGTATAGAAGGAATATACCTTAACATGATAAAGACTATATACGACAAACCCACAGCTAATATTATATTCAATGGTGAAAAATTGAAAGCTTTTCCTCCAGGATCAGGAGCAAAACAAGGGTGCCCACTCTCATCCCTCTTACTCAACATAGTACTGAAAGTCCTAGACAGATCACTTAGGCCAAAAAAAAAAGAAAAAAGAGGCATTCAAATTGTAAAGGAAGTAGTAAAATTGTCATTATTTGCAGATGATGTGATCTTATATACGGAAAACACTAAAGACTCAATCAAAAACCTGTTGGGGGGCCGGCCCGGTGGCGCAGCGGTTAAGTTCGCACGTTCTGCTTCTCCGCAGCCCGGGGTTCCCCGGTTCGGATCCCCGGTGCAGACATGGCACCGCTTGGCAAGCCATGCTGTGGTAGGCGTCCCACGTATAAAGTAGAGGAAGATGGGCATGGATGTTAGCTCAGGGCCAGTCTTCCTCAGCAAAAAGAGGAGGATTGGCCGTAGTTAGCTCAGGGCTAATCTTTCTCAAAAAAAAAAAAAAAACTGTTGGAACTAATCAACAAATTCAGTAAAGTAGCAGGACATAAAATCAACTACGGAAATCAGTGGCATTCTTGTGCACTAGCAACAAAATATCTGATTAAGAAATAAAACTATCCCATTCACAATAACATTAAAAGTAATATAACACCTAAGAATAAATTTAAACAATGAGGTGAAAGATCTGCACACTGAAAAGTACAAGACTCTGATGAAACAAACTGAAGAAGACACAAATGGAAAGATATCCATATTCATGGATCAGAAGAATTAACATTGTTAAAGTGTCCATACTGCCTGAAGCCATCTATAGATCCAGCACAATCCCTACCAAAATTCCAATGGCATTTTTAACAGAAATAGAAAAAATAATCCTAAAATTTGTATGGAAGCACAAAAGACCCCAAATAGCCAGAGCAATCATAAGAAAGAACAAAGCTGGAGGAATCATATTTCCTGATTTCAAACTATACTACGAAGCTTCAGTAATTAAAATAGTATGGTACAGGCATAAAAATAGACACACAGACCAAAGGAACAGAATAGAGAGCCCAGAAATAAACCCCTGTATTTACGGTCAATTAATATTTAACAAGGGAGCCAGGAACACTCAATGGGGAAAAGATAGTCTCTCCAACAAATGGTGCCGGGAAAACTGGAAAACCACATGCAGAAGGATGAAATTGGACCCCTATCTTACACCACTCATGAAAATTAACTTGAAATGGATTAAACATAAGACCTGATATTGTAAAACTCCTAAAAGAAAACATAGGGAAGAAGCTTCTTTGTTCTTGGCACCAAAAGCACAAGCAACAAAAGCAAAAATCAACAAGTGGGACTACATCAAACTAAAAAGCCTCCACATAGCAAAACAAACAAACAAAAAAAGTCAAAAAAATGAAAAGGCCTGGGGCTGGCCCCGTGGCCGAGTGGTTAAGTTCGTGCGCTCTGCTTCGGTGGCCCAGGGTTTCACTGGTTCGGATTCTGGGCACGGACATGGCACCACTCATCAGGCCATGCTGGGGTGGCATCCCACATGCCACAACTAGAGGACCCACAACTAAAATATACAACTATGTACTGGGGGTATTTGGGGAGAAAAAGCAGGAAAAATAAAAAGAAGATTGGCAACAGTTGTTACCTCAGGTGCCAATCTTAAAAAAAAAACATATATATGAGAAGTTTAAAAAAAATGAAAAGGCAACCTATGGAATGGGAGAAAATATTTGCAAACCACATATCTGATAGGAGGTTAATATTCAGAACATATGAAGAACTCATATGACTCAGCAACAAAAAACAAATAATTTGATTAAAAAATGGGCAGAGAACTTCAATAGACTTTGACAAGAAGATATACAAATGGCCAACAGGTACATGAAAAGATGCTCAATGTCACTAATCAACAGGGAAATGCAAATCAAAATCACAAGGAGATATCACCTCACACCTGTCAGAATGGCTATCATCCAAAAGACAAGTAATTAACAAGTGCTGGCAAGGATGTGGAGAAAGGGGAGCCCCTGCACACTTGGTGGTAATGCAAAGTGGTGCAGCCACTACAGAAAACAGTACAGAGGTTCCTTAAAAAATTAAAAATAGAACTACCATATGAGCCAGCAATTTCAGTCTTGGGTATATATCCAAAGGAAAGGAAAACAGGATATCAGAGATATATGGACTCCCATGTTTATTGTAGCATTATTCACAACAGCCAAGATATGGAAACAATCTAAGTTTCTAACAACAGATGAATGGATAAAGAAGACATGGTAATATATACAATGGAATATTATTCAGCCATGAGAAAGAAGGAAATCTTGTCATTTGCAACAACATGGATAGACTTTGTGGGCATTATGCTAAGTAACATAAGTCAGACAGAGAAAGACAAATATTGTATTATATCACTCATATGTGAAACTTAAAAAAGCTGAACTTGTGAAAACAGAGTAGAATGGCAGTTACCAGGGGCTGGGGACTGGAGGGTGGGGGAATTGGGGAGATGTTGTTTACGGGTACAAACTTGCAACCAGTAGGTAATTAAATCCTGGAGATCTAATGCACAACACAGCGATTACAGACAACAATACTATATTATAAACTTCTAAGTTGCTAATAGACTAAATATTAATTGCTCCCACCACAAAAAAGAAATGATAATTATATGATGTGATAGAGGTGTTAGCCAATGCTTCAGTGGTAATCATATTGCAATGAATAAATGTACCAAATCAACACGTTACACACCTCAAACTTACACAATGTTATATGTCAATTACATCTCAATAAGAATAAATTTTAAAAAAACAGGGAAGTTATAGCATTATCAAGTCAAGCATCACACTTTAAAACTAATTTGAAGGGCTGGCCTCATGACCAAGTGGTTAAGTTCACACACTCCACTTCGCTGGCCCAGGGTTTCACCAGCTCAGGGTTTCGCCAGTTTGAATCCTGGGCGTGGACCTAGAACCGCTCATCAAGCCATGCTGAGGTGGCATCCCACATAGCACAATCAGAAGGGCTCACAACTAGAATATATAACTATGTACTGGGGGGATTTGGGGAGAAGAAGAAAAAAAAATTGGTAACAGATGTTAGCTCAGGTGCCTATGTTTGGAAAAAAAATAATTTGAACATGCCAGAGATGAATTTATAGTACACCATTCTTTTGGCAGGGGGCTGCAAGTATGACACCACCACATAAGAGACGCTGGAAGTTGTGCAGATCTAAGAAATTAAAATGCAGCAACCATTAGGTATTACCACATAGCTGAGTTTCCATAGAGAAGTGAATGCCCTGGAAAGATACTGTGACTTAAAGATGAAAATTATTAGTCACCAAGGCAAAAGATGAGTTTCCATGTTTTTTAAAAAATAGAATTTACTTACTAATTTCTTGCTTTTCTGATTATAAAAGTATAACATACTCCATACAGAATATTCTGAAAACATAGAAAAGTATAAAGAGGGCAAAAATATCACCTAAATAATCACTGTTAACATTTTTGATATGTTTCCTATTAGTTTTTTTCTATGCATATTTGTCTATAGTTGATATCACATTTGATATGAAATTTGGTTAGGATAACTATAGCATAAGCATTTTTCCATGTTACGAAAACTCTTTATTTCAACATAATATTCTCTCATATTGCTGTAATAAAGTTTATTTAACCATGTACTAAGTGTTGGAAATTTAGGTTGCCTTTAACTGTGTGCTATTAGAAATAGAGCTTTGATAACATCTCTTGCTAAAATTATAAATTCCTCGAGGTCAGGGACTGTGTTTTCACCAATGCCTAGTACACAGCATGGCACATAGTAGGCTCTTAAATGTTGTTGACTAACAGAATAATTCTTTCTTTCCATTTTGAGTTATTTTCTAAGCATTAATTCCCTGAAGGAGAATCACTGGATCAAAGGGTATGAACAATTTTTAAAACATAATCCGAAATTGCTTTTCATGTAAATTGTACCAATACAACTATCTCTAGCAGTATATGACAGTACTTTCTTTAATGCAAAGTACTCTTTTAAAATTTGCTTCCTAATTTGATAGAAGAAAATAGTGTCTGTTGTATTAATTTGCTAACAAGGTTGAATATTCTTTCAGGTATTTATTAGTTATTTGTAGTTCCTCAATTATGAGGCAGAACTGACTTAGTCTTTGGGATAGTGGGCAGTTCCTGAAAGTTTCCCTGCAGAAATGAGGTCTAAACTGAGACCTAAAGAATAAACAGAAATCAGCCAGGCACAAAATGCTTATTAATTACAAGGGGAAAACCAGCAAATTTACAGCAGAGAAATGCGGCAGATAGTACCTTAATGAAGTCACTAAACTTAACATCAACAGTAATGGGACAAAGCCACATCTTGTACTTCCTGATGATGTACTAAGGGCACAGCATCATCTCTGTGGAATTCTTGCCATAAATGCACAACTTGAATCAAATCATGAGGCAATATCACACAAAATAAGTTTGAGGGACATTCTATAAAATAACTGGCCTGTAGTCTTAAAAAACACCAAGGTCATAAAAGCCAAGTAACATCTCAAGTGTTATTCTAGATTAAAGGAGCCTAAAGAGACATTACAATTAAAGGTAACATGTTATCTTGGATTGGATCCTGGATCACAGGGTTTTTTTCTCCCATAAATCACATTACTGGGACAATTAAAGAAATTTGAATGGGGTCTGTGGATTAGGTGATAGTATAATGCCAGTGCTCATTTCCTGATTTTGATGACTGTACTGTGGTTATGGAAGAGTCTTAAGGAAATTGACACTGAAGTATTTAGGAGAAATGGGGCATGATGTCTGAAATTTACTCTCAACTGGCTTAGAAAAAGTAACATGTGCTTATGTATGTGTGTAAATAGAAAGATAAAGCAAATGTTAACAAGTGGGGGACTTGGATGAAGTGTATACAGGAATTCTTTGCACAATTCTTGCAATTTTCCTCTAAGTCTAAAATGATTTCAAAATAAAAAATAAAAAGAAGTTTCAGTAGTTAAAATTTTTTTTGTCAAATTATTCAAAAGTATTGATAATTTGCAGAGATAGCGAGGGTTTGAGGAAAATGGCACATAATGGCATATATCCATCATGTATGGATAGGGAAAGTGTAAACTGGTGGAAATTATTTTGGAAGGCAATTTTCAAGTGTATATCCTTTAACCCAATGGTTACACTTTTACAAATCTATCCTACAAAAATATTTGTGCAAGTTAACTAGGAGATACATACAAGGATCCTCACTAAAGTATTATCTGAAATACTAAAAAATGGAGGCAATTCCATCAATAGAAGAATTATTAAATACTGTACAGCAACTGAAAAGAATGAACTAGATTATCTGTACAAAATGATAGGGAAGGATGTTTGGTTATGTTGTTCAGCGAAATATGAGATTGTTAAATTAAAAACATCAGGTTATACAGAAGTAAGAATAGTAGGATTTGTTTTCTGAAATACACTCAATATCTGTGCCACTTTGGTAATTGAAAAATGCATTAAAAAGAAAAAGTTTACCTAGGCGATAGTTTGTAGGTACAAAGTTCCATGTATATTTACTAATTCAACCACATTAATTATATAGTTTAAATTTTCTGTGATCTTATTTTTGGCTTATTTCTTCTGTCTTAGCCTGGTAATGATTTTTGTTAAATTATTCCCTTATAACTGTTTCTATTTTGCCTTGTATTTCTATATATTTTGCTGTGTATTAATTGAAACTATATTCCAGGACAGAATTTCTCGTTACAGGTTGTGCATTTCAAAATTCTATCTTGACCCTCTTTGTCCTCTTTGTTCCAGGTAATACTTTTTCTTTTGAATTCTACTTCATTTGACATTCACATAGTCATCGCGCTCTTTTTTGTTTACATTGGCCAGACTTTGCACATCCTTCTGGGTTTTTTTGTTGTTGTTTTTCTTTTTGTAGGGGAAGATTTGCCCTAAGCTAACATCTGTTGCCAATCCTCCTTTTTCCTTCCTCCCCCCACCCCCTGAGCCCCAGTACATAGTCGTATACAGTTGTAAGTTCTTCTAGTTCTTCCATCTGAGCTGCTGCCACAGCATGGCTACTGACAGACAAGCAGTGTGGTTCTGTGCCCAGGAACTGAATCTGGGAGCTGAAGCAGAGCACACCACCGAACTTTAACTGCTAGGCCATCAGGGCTGGCTCCATCCTTCCATTTTTAATCTTTCCGTATCAATTTATTATATTAGAACTCTTATAGGTGGTATAAACTGGATTTTCTTTTTAAAAATCAATCTGTGTCTTTGCCTTGTGTTAGGGGAAACTTAAATTGTCATGCATATTTATTATTATAATGGATACATTTGATCCTATTCCTGCTGTCCTATTTTATGACTTCTTGCTGTTTCCGAAGATAAGAGCTGGAATTAAAGCAGTAGCAGTAGAAAGAAAAAGATGGAGAAAAGTAGAAAGGTAATAATGATGGTGATGATAACGATATGGGGGATGCAGGAGAGTGAGGGAGGTGGAAGACTGAGAGATGGTTCCATGATACCAAGCTTTGTCAACCAGTGTATGGAAGGAGCAAAAGCCTCCTTTTGTTTATTTTTGTAATGGCAGAGATGATGAGTTTAGTTTAAGATAGGTTCTCTGAGGTCCTTGTGGGATATGTAAGAAGAGATATGCTACAAAAGCAGTTGGATATACAAATCTGGAGCTTATGAAGGAAGTCTTCACCTACACGTCCATAGTTCTATGGGAGAATCTGAATTTTGCCTGTGGTTTAGAAGAACAATTAATTTGATGATGGTCCACATGCAAGTTAAGCCTTTATCTATGGCAAAGGTGTACCAGACTTCCTTACCCCACACTTGGTAAAAACAAAGAAAAGAAAATTACCTTTGCCATTCCAACTGAACTGGCATTCAATTCTGAGATCCCTTGGTTGGTCTTGTCTCCACGTTCCCATATCCCAAAGTCCTGGCATAAAATAATCAACATACCATTAGTAAGTCATCACTGCTTAATGCTTACTAGATGTACAACCCTTGAATAAGAGGCACACATAGTAGCTAATCTACCATACATATGTATACCCACAATGCTGATTAAGAAGACGCAAATGAGTTGGGTTGCCCCTGTAGCTATTTTCCAGTAGCTTTAAATTCTACTGGGGTCTCCAAGAAGTTGGAAGACTCCTTGACAGCTGACATCAGGACTAAGAATTATAACTCAGTGCATCTAAAGAGGTGCTTCTCAAAACTTTTCATCCAAGCAGATACCCAGGGGGTCTAGGAGATGGAGCTTAAACAGCACCCCAGTATTTTATCTTAAACATCCATTCTGATTACACTCTCTTTTGGTATTGACAATGTACCATGCACTAACCTATGCACTTTATACTATTATCTTCCTTAGTCCTTACATTTTAGATGATGAAACCGAGGTACAAAGAGAGGTTAAGTGGCTCTCCCAAGGTCACATAGCTATCAAGTGTCAGAGCTAGGATTAGAGTCCAAGTATTATCACTCCAAAGCCTACATTCTCAATCATAGCTCTATACAGTCCCTTGATATTATAAAGATAATATTTAAAATTACTTTTTAAAAACTTTATATTTTGAAATAACCTCAGACTTACAGAGAAGTTGCAAAAACAGTACAGTGAGTTCCCATATACCTTTCACTGTTTCCCCTAATGTTAACACCTAACATAACCACGGCATAATTGTCAAAGCTAAGAAATTAACATCAGTAAAATACTAGTAACCAAATTATGGGCTTTATTAGGATTTCACTAGTTTTTCCACTAATAGCCTTTTTATATTCCAGGATCTAATCCAGAATACCATATTTTATTTGTCATGCCTCCTTAATCTCTTCCAATCAGTTATAGTTTCTCAAATCTTGTCTTGTGTGACCTTGATACTTTCTGAAGATTAGTGGTCAGATATTTTATAGATTTCCCTCAGTTTAGGTTTGTCTGATGTCTTCTCTTGCTTAGATTGAGGCTATGCACTTTTGGCAAGAATACTACAAACATTATGCTGTGTCCTCAGTGCATTCTAACGGGGTACACGATGCTGATATGTCCTATTACTGGTGATGTTAACCTTCTCCACTTGGGTAAAGGAGATACTATAGGGTATCTCCATTTTATTGTTACTATTTTCCCCTTCATAATTAACAAATAGCTTGAGAAAGATACAACTGTGCAAATATCCTGTTTCTCCTCAAACATCTACTTACTAATTTAGCATCCATCGGTGAATCTTGTCTGCAAGAATTATTACAGTGGTTCAACAGTGATTTTCTAGTTCCTTCATTACCTCTACAGTCATTAATTGCAATTCTTCTCTAAGGAAGAGCTGTCCTTTCTCCTCATTTATTTATTCAACTATTTACTTATATCAGTGTGAACTTATGGATATTCAGGTTATTCTCTGTGTTATAATAAAACGTTATCATTATTTATTTTGTTGCTCAAATTGTTCCAGCTTTGGCCATTGGGAATTCTTCCAGATTGGTTCCTGTCCCCTTTTGACATACTCTATTCTTTTTTAAACACTTCCTCAGTCTGTCACTACAAGATGTTCCAGTCTCATCTTGTATGTTCCTTTTTCCAGCCTTGGAATCCACCAGTTTTACAAGGAATCCTGGTTTCTTTTATTAGAGAACGATAGTTATAATCCAATACCTGTGGACTGGTGCTCATTGTCACTGTGGTGTCATTGCTTTTAGGCCCTCTCATAGAAAAAAACTTGGAAATACCCCTGTGCATACGTGTGTGTGTACACACATACACACGTGCGCACACACACACACACACACAAACCACCTATATTTATTTCTGTATCTACCTTAAATTACTTGTCGTATAAAATTTTTGAGCTAAAGTGACACTTCAGGAAGGCAATCCACATTTATATCCCATGGCTAGCCTTGCCTGGCCCCTAACCCAGCTCTATCCTAGTTTGTTCAGCAAAGATCAGAGTATGAGAAGGCATAAATATCATTAATTCTACTGCTACAACCCTTGACTGCAATGGAGAGGCCAGAGAACCCTGATTTGCACCCTAGACTACAGCAGGCCTACGGTATCAGAAGGCGAAGCAATCACTCAACAAACAATGTCTGTTTGCATCAAATATGTCTATGTTTGACTTATCCTCCTGGCAAATGCAGAGTGACAGGTTCCAGATTTACCCTCCTACCTAAAACAACTAAAAACTAAACAAACAACTAAAGAAATTGGACTACTTATGATACAGCCATTTCCAATACAATGAACATCATGCAATGAAGAACAGCAGTCCCTGAGAAGATGTTAAATACATTAGGAGTTAACATAAACCTACCTCATATGGTAGTTGTAAGAACAAGTAACTATATTTGTATAGTAAGCACTGAATTGATGTCTGCAGATAAAATTTAACCATGTGTTTAATATACTTTCTAAGTAGCTAACTGACCCATAATACTCCCTAGCCATCTTACTCCTGTTTAACACCATAAACCATTAAAATAAGACCACAATTTATCCCTAGACTGCCAAATACATACCATGAGATACTATAGAGTTTGAAAAGAATGAAGGCATAGAATCTTGACCTTCTGGCCTCTGTAACTCCCTTGGGGAGAAGGCAAACAGAGGATGACAGGACTTAGTAAAGAAAGAGGCTGAAGGCAATTTTTGCCAGAAGCCTTATAGATTGGTTCATTATGAGGTGCAGCATTAAGAGAAGGAATGGGTTGTCCAGTATTTTAAAAACACCATATTGTAGATGACATGATGCTATGCATAGAAAACCCTAAAGACTCCACTACAAAAACAATTAAAACTAATAAATGAATTTAGTAAAGTTGCAGGGTACAAAATTAATATACAGAAATTGGTTGCATTTCTATACACTAATAACAAGCTATCAAAAAGAGAAATTAAGAAAACAACACATTTACAATTGCATCAAAAAGAATAAAATATGTAGGAATAAATGTAACCAAAGAGGTGAAAGACCTGTACTCTGAAAACTATAAGAGACTGATGGAAGAAACTGAAGATGACACAAATAGAAGGAAAGATATACCATGCTCATGGATTGGAATAATTAATATTATTAAAATATCCATACTACTCAAAGCAATCTACAGATTCAATGAAAATCCCCATCAAAATGCTAATGGGATTTTATACAGAACTAGAAAAAAGAATCTTAAAACTTACATGGGACTACAAAAGACCCCAAATAGCCAAAGCAATCTTGAGAAAGAACAAAGTTGGAGATATCATGCTCCCTGATTTCAAACTATACTACAAAGACATAGTAATCAAAACAGTATGGTACCAGCATGAAAACAGACACATAGATCAATGGAATAGAATAGAGCGCCCAGAAGTAAACTCATGTATATATGATCAATTAATCTATGACAAAGGAGGTAAGAACGTACAACTGGTGCTGGGAAAACTGGAGAGCTAAATGCAAAAGAATAAAACTGAACCACTATTTTATACCATACACAAAAATAAATTCAAAATGAATTAAAGACTTGAATGTGAGACCTGAAACCATAAGACACTTAGAAGAAAACATAGGCAATCGGGTCTTTGACATCAGTCTTAGCAATACTTTTGTGGAACAGTCGCCTCAGGCAAGGCCAACAAAAGCAAAAATTTAAAAAATGGGGTTATATCAAACTAAAAAGCTTTTGCACAGCAAAGAAAACCATCAACAAAACAAAAAGACAACCTACTGAATGGGAGAAGATATTTGCAAATCATACATCCAATAAAGGGTTAATATTAAAAATATATCAAGAAGTTACACAACTTAATATCAAAAAAAACAAACCTGATTAAAAAATGGGCAGAAGACTTGAATAGAGATTTTTCCAAAGAAGATATACAGGTGGCCAAAAGGCACATGAAAACATGCTCAACATCACAAACCATCAGGGAAATGCAAATCAAACCACAACGAGATACTACTCCATACCTGTCAGAATGGCTATTATTAAAAAGAGAAAAAATAACAAGTGTTGGTGAGGATGTGGAGAGAAGGGAACCCTTGTATACTGTTGGTGGGAATGTAAATTGGTGCAGCCACTATGGAAAATAGTATGGAGGTTCCTCAAAAAATTAATAATACAACTACCATATGATCTAGCAATTCAACTTCTGGGTATTTATCCAAAGAAAACGAAAACACTAATTTGAAGAGATATATGCACCCATAGGTTCGCTACAGCATTATTTACAATAGCCAAGATATGGAAGCAACCTAAGTGTCCAGTGATAGATGAATGGATAAAGAAGATGTGGCACATATATACAATGGAGTATTACTCGGCCATAAAAAAGAATGCAACCTTGCCATTTGCAACAACATGGATGGATACAGAGGTTATTATGCTAAGTGAAAAAGTCAGAAAGGGAAAGCTAAATACCATATAATTTTGCTTATATGTGGAATCTAAAAAGCAGAAGAAATAAACAAACAAAACAAAACAGAAACAGACTCAGAGATACAGGAAACAACTTGGTGGTTACCACGGGAGGGAGGGATTTGGGGGGAGGAGCAAGTGAAATAGGTGAAGGGGATTAAGAGTTACAAAATTCCAGCTACAAAGTGAATGATTCATAGAGATGTAATGTACAGCATAATACTGTCAATATTATGCTGTACAATAATATTGTAATAACTTTGCATGGTGACAGATTGTAACTGGACTTACCATGGTGATCATTTTGTAATGTATATAGGCATCAAATCACTATGATGTACAGCTGAAACTAACAGGATATGTCAATTACACTTCAATAAAAAATTTTTTTAAAAGCATGTTTAAAATCTGGTCCAAAATGAGTACTTACAGCAGTTTTATATGCAGATTCAATGTAAAATACAAGGTTCTGTATGAAATTGACTTCATCTAGGCTGTGGATGATATGAAGTCCTGAGGAAAAAGAATAAAGATATAGAGTTGTTCAATTATCACTATAGGCTTTATAGGTAGCCACAGTGACTAAGTGACCCCACTACTCCAAAGTAATCCTATTCCTGTTTAGGAATAATGGGAGGAACTTTGATTCTCAAACCATAAAAACAAGACCACAGATGAGTCCCGGGCTAATTTTCAACTGAGATATCAGCATATTTTAATATGGAAGAATTTTAACTGTTATTTGTAGGTTTTAATAGAAAGCCTCAGACTCCTAATTCTATAAGCAACTAATTTACAATGTGCTTAAGTGTACAGACAAATATTTCAAAAAAGAGTTGGAGGAAGTCTAAATACTAAGGAATAAGTAGATACAATTAGGATTTTAAGGAGAACTTACAATCATATTTTTACAGTAAAAATGATAATTATTCTAAATGTAAGTTATACAAAGATAGTTATAGCTTACAAATGGAGTGTTTCACATGAATTATACATTTAATTTTTACAACAACCCTAAGAGGTGAGTACCTCTATCTTTCCCATGAGGCTTAGGTTAAATATTTGCCTTAGGTTATGTAACTAATAAATAGTGGAACTAGGACTCAATTGACCATCAACTTCTGTTTTACTTCGGAGACTGAGTTCCTAACCAAGATACTATACTGCTTCCCAATATACACAATATGATCCATTTTTGTTTAAAAACTAACTCCTTTCCCCTCTCCCCTCCCTGCACCTTTCTGTGGAGAGAAATACCAACAGGTATACACTGAAAGTCTTCCTCCCACTGGGAATCACATCATTCCCACCCTGCCTAATCTCCTCTCTGGAAGAAACCAGAAACTATGGGTTAACTTGTTGCTCTTATTGAGCTATCAGCCTCCTCTTCATTTCTTGGTACCTAATTTCTTGGAACTTAATTTCTTAGAACCAAAATCTCCATTGTTTTTGAGAGTGCCCTTAGCCTTGACTCTGTTTCAAATAAAGTCAGTTCTCTTGGGAAGAGCTATGGAGCTTTCTGTTTTTATGGCCTGCCTCTCGCTCCATGCTGCTAGCAAGGTGGGTCAGGCCTAGTATTCTCTGTCTGCTCTGTCTGGGATTAAGCTTCCACTCCATGAGTGGGATGGGGAGGGGCAGGTAGGAAGGGAGTTACGGACTTCTTAGTTATTGGCTAGACTAGAGTTTCTGCAATGCAGAGCTGGGGAGGATGAGAAATGCTGGTAATCTACCTCTCTCAGGGAGAGACTGTGAGCTGGGAGAAGAGGGAGCCTTGTATTCTTGACTTCTGTCATGGTGAGCTTGGGGCAGAGGAGGAAGTAGGTTGTGGCCCAAATGCCACACTCTCTTATTTCTCTACTTGCTGTATGCCCTTAGGACAATTTCCAGTGACTTTAAATGGTTGGTTTTTAAAATTAATTTTCACTATTTATGGTTATTTTGCTGGGAAGAAGTCTGTGGAGCTCCTCATGCCACCATCCTGTAAGTTGCAGTCAGCTTCTCTCTAAGTCTCTCTTTAACCAAGGTTGAGATTTTTAAGAATTCAAAAATATGTAGAAAACTGCTAAATTTTCCATGAAGATCTTTCATACTCTACCTACTATGTCTCACATCTATCTTTTTCATCCTCAAGGCAACTGCCTTACATAAGTTCTGCATCATTTCTTGCCTAAAGTATTTCACTAACCTCCTAACTAGTCTTCCATCTTAATTCTCTCCCCTATGCAATCTATCCTCCTGAATCTGAATCACCTGAAATTTTCTTGATTATTTACCTTGAGTGGCTCTCTATTGACTACAGACTCAACTCCAAACTTACCTAGCAAGGTATACAGGCCCTTAAACAGCTAGCTCCAACTTTCTAGCTTCATCTTTTGCCAGTTTTTCAGATCCATCTTACACTCTAACCATAGAAGATACCTAGATTTACCTTAGTGGCCAGTACTTTTCAAATTTATGTGCTGTAGTCATGCTATTCCCTTCCCTTCTCTGATTTGTGAATTTCTACTTATTCCTACTTATTCCTCAAAGGCCTGATCAAATAATGTCCACCTTATTCCAAGCACCTATCAAAGTTAGCTCATTGAACTGAATGTTAAGTCAGAAATCAACAAACATTTGGTGAATGAATGACTATGTCTCTTATAAGCCTCTTTAGTATATTTCTGCTTCCTTTCTTGGCTCAATATGAAAAACCACAAGGGATATTTAGATACTGTTTACTTTGTAGAAAAACATTCCAGAATTGGTATTAAAAGAATATTAGAAATGGAGTTATAGCTGCCATTCTGTTTAAATAAATAAAATCTAAAAATATATTTATTCAGGGAGGAACCTCCCCTCCAAAAGAAGGGAGTATGTGGGTAGTCATATTATAATTTTAAGAATAGGTTATTCAGCTTCTGGGCTTGTGTTCTAAAGGTAAAAAAAAGGAAGGCTTTATCACCAAATATTTATTTATGCAAGAAAAGGAGAAGAGTATTATGGGGTAATTCTCAACCTGAATGCCCTTAGTGCCAAGTAGCCCTGTAACCAAAGAGGAAGATAAATTGAAATGGCAAAAATACGGTATTTTGAGAAGTACATTTACTTACTCAGGAAGATCTAACAAAGGTTCCTGTTTAATTTACAAACTGAAGGTAATCAAATTCCTTGTCCTCTCTAATTAGGAGAAATAAAAGGGAATTATGTTGGTCCTTACACTTTTCTTTTTCAGTTAAAGCATATAAAGCTAATAACAAACCTATATGAAAAGGGTGTATTATTCAATAATAAGAAATACACATTCGAATTGTGATTCCTAAGTCAATTCCCTTAATATAATTTAGATGCCTATAGACAGATGACTTGTTTATAATACATTCATAAAGAGCAGTATAAAGTAGGTGATTCAATTTATGTTAATACTAACTATAGGCTTGTCGGTGCATAGTATGAGAACAAACAATGAACCCTAGCCCTTCTTTCTCATCTCATGGTATATGAGGATTAATAAAAGATAAAAATACCATCTAAAGAAAATCTATCCCAGATTTCCTGGTTCTCAATTAAAAAAAACTAATTAGTACCCCAGATTTGTTTCTCAATGTAAAAGAATACTAACTAAACCTCAAAGAGTTGTTACTCTATATAAAATTTGCAAAATACTGTTTCCAATGTGCATCTTTGAGCAATGTAAACAGCTATGTTGTTTTCTAGCCAACACCTTTGGTGAAGTCACACGTGCCAGAGCAAAAGCTCCACACTGCAGTGGCCCCCAGTTCTTCTGTCCTTGTACTGACCTGAGGCAGTCATTTGTGCTAGGAAGAGCAGGTACACAGAGGTAGCATCCAACTGCAGGTGTCCCCACTGATCATCACCCACTACAGTGGCACAGGTTCTGGTGTTATACTTGGCATGGAGGCTATCCTTGGTACTCTGACTATACTTGAAAGATTCTACCTTATCCACCTGAAGAAAACAAAAACAGTAAAAGAAGGCTATGCAGAAAAATCAACCCAAACGCCATACTTCCATAGTACTCTTAACATACATCGCTGCATTCGGTCTTCAGGCAATTGTGATTATTTAAAATGCATTGTTATCTTTTTCCCCTACACCAATACAACTAGGAAAGTCTACTGTTGCTGTGTTTTAATTTAAGAAATTTAATTAGAAAATAATATCAGTCAAAACTAGCGATTTCCTATTCATTACCTCTCTTTCACTCTTGAGATGGGTGTTTTGCCACATTGTAGATATAAACTGAGATGCAGAGAGGTTGAGTGAAAATAGCTTAGCAAGAGATAACTGAGTTATAGAAAAGATACATTTGTTCCTGAAACAGAGATGGGAATTTTGAGGGAAATTAGAATGAGGATATATTTTGAAGGAGTAATGAAACGACCTGGGGAGAGAGACATGCAGTGACAGAGAAGATAGAAAGAAAGCTGAAACCAGAGGTCAGAAAGGAAACATTGTGCAAAGGACAACTGAAAGACTTAGTTCCTGAAATTTAGATCTGAGTATGTGTGCATCTGATATAAGACAGTAACTCTTATACCTTTAAATATGATTCATGAAATTAGTGACTGTAAACCTATTTGGGAGGGTAGAAAATGAAAATATCTAAAATACACCAAAAAAAGTAGCAAAGAAGGAAAAAAAAGAAATAATGGCCGTGAGATAGCCCAGAAGAGAGAGCACTGATAAAGAAGTTCAGAAGTCTAGGGCTGATTTCTTTTTACTTTAGACTTGTGTGCCTGTTGATGGTCACTTTATTAATCTGGGCCTCAATTGCTTCTTCTAATAAAATGTAATCTTGGTCTCAAGAAAATCAGTTAAGATTCAATGTGTGAAACGTGTAAAGATCTCTTAGGATAAAAGTAAAACACTTTTTTTCTTAGTAAAACACTTTTGAATGGAAAAAATATCATAAAGAAACTCAAAAGATAAACCACAGACTGCCAAAAATATTTGCAGTATATGTGACAAGGGATTAAAATCCATAATGTACAGGAATTCCTCAAATAGGCAAGAAAGAGACAGCCCAAAAAAAAATAGGCAAAGGATCCAAAAGGCAATTAACAGAAGAGGAAATGCAAATTTTTAATCTACACATGAAAGGATGCTCAACTTCACTGAAGATCACAAAAATACAAATTAATGCAAGGAGATAAGTCTGTGGCCCCTTATCTCCAATCATAAAGTCTAAAACACTTCCAAAATGTTTTTTCCCCTGAGTGTAACACCAAAATTCATTTGGTGGCAACATTTGATTCAAATTGACATGGGGCTATTTGTAGTTTTTATTTATTCCACTTAGTGTGAAAATGCATGTTTCCCTGCAGAGAGACTGTTTCTGGTAGAGTGCTATTCTGGACCTACTGAGAGCATAACATAATATATGGTACACACACTGTACTACCTTTTAAAATCTGAAAAATTCCGAATTCTAAAATTTATCTGGTCCCAAAGGTTTCAGATGAGGGCTTCCAGACCTGTATCATCTTCTACTCAATATACATAATTCCATGTACTGTAGTGAAGTATATTAAAAAATCATTTGTAGAGGAGGGGGATAAAAGACTAGAAGTTCCAGTGGTAATTGGGTGGTGAGATCATGGGTGACATTTTCCCCCTCTGTTCTACAAATTTTCTAAAATTAGTGTGCACTATTTGTGAAATTGAAAAAAATACAAACATTCCCTAAGGGGTAGAGATTCTATTACAATGTGCTTTTATTAGAGAGGGAGCTGTTACCAACACCATACCTGTCTTATCATGCAGTGCAGCAGTCCCCTCATCAGCTTCACTACACTCTGCAAAAATAAATGGAAACAAGACTGTTATAAACATCCCTAGATGCAGGAACACTTACTCAGCAACTGCAGTTGGTACATGACCTTTTGAGAACAAGTAACCCTATCCTGGGTTCCTATTTACATGGCATTTACTTTATAGGCACACAGAAGAGCAGACTGCAGCTAAAAGTGGAATCAAAAGCTGCAGTTGGTGACTGCTTCAAGTTAAAAAAAAATCCAAGCTACATCAGGTTTATGTAAAACAAAGCCAATCATCCTATTAGAAAACATTCCACCTGGAGAAAAGGGGCAAGTCAGCTCAAAAATCATAAAGCTATGAAGATATTCAAAAATACATCTTATGGCCTAGAAAAGCCAACGTCATCACTTTTATTTTTTCTAAACTAGCCAAGACTTATTTTCAAGAGTCCACAGAAATATTTATCTGGACATTTTCCTTAAAGAATAAATCAACTTGGGGGCCGGCCACATGCTGAGTGGTTAAGTTTGTGTGCTCTGCTTTGGTGGCCCAGGGTTTCACCAGATCAGATCCTGGGCACAGACCTGGCACTGCTCATCGAGCCATGCTGAGGCAACATCCCACATAGCAGAGCCAGAAGGACCTACAACTAGAATATACAGTTACATACTAGGGGGCTGTGGGGAGAAGAAGAAGAAGAAGAAAAAAAAAGAAGATTGGCAACAGATGTTAGCTCAGGTGCTAATCTTTAAAAAAATAATAAATGAACTTCAATTCAGAATAAGTGTAAAGGGGAACTGTTAATGCAACTTAATCCCTTTTTTGTGAGGAAAAAAAGCTACAAACTTCTTAAGTCTCAAGTCATCACTGTTTCTCTTACTAGGGCTTGGCAATTTCTAAAGTAGTTTTCCAATCATAATACTCCAAAATTCTGATTACTCACTATATACTATACTAGTTGGTATAATGTTATATAGCAATAATAATTATATTTAATTATAATATAGTATAGTAATACTGTACTATACTAGTTATACTACATGACACTAGAAGGGCTCATCAATATTGGCATGGGTGGGCAATATGTTTTGGAAGAATATAGCACCAAACAGCTTCTCCATTTCTCTAGGCTTTCTGTTTCACACTCCAGAAGAAATACAACCAGGTTACTCCAAGGAATGCTGGCTCAGAGGTGGCTTCAGGACACCTCTGAAAACTAATCTACTTGGGTGCCACATCATTCTGTTATTCCTTCAAAACACTCAAGTGGGATTGCAAGAAATAGGCATGATAAGGATAGGCATCTATTAAATTATGCCCCAACTCGTTATAACACCTTTTACTGAAGGAAAAATAAAAAGTGTTTCCTTGAGAGAGCTCCCTTTCTTAAGTAATTTCTGTCTATAAATGGTCCCCTCTCCTTACAGATCAAGGAAAGTAATTAAAAAAGAGAGAGAGAGAGAGAACAGGCAGCACATGATCTTATCACCTTTTAAAGCATGAAGCATTTATTGTAAAGTAATGAAACCGACCACAACCTCTACAAGCAAATCTCTAGCATTACTCTGACCATAATGAAAGAGATCATCCTTAATATACCCTATTACAGAAAGCACTTAACACAGCCTCCTCACTCTGTGGGGAGACAATTAAATTCTGAATTATCTTCTATGTGTCACCACATACAGGTTTCTATCACAACCTTTCAACTCTCTTTACCATCCAGCTCTGCTACTCTCATCTACATTTTCTGTAACTTAAACAGCAAACCTGGGGGATCATGGACCCAATGGAGGATTCCTGATTGCCATTCACTTTTGTCCTCCTGGAATGGCCTCTGTCAGCCATTTTCGTACTCAAGTTCCAACTTCCAAGTCAGGACAAATTTAATAGGAAGCATGGGGAGGTAGGAATGAGGGGAGGTAGCTGTACTTTGTGTTCCCCCAAACTGGCTGTTTTCTGATTCAGATGCACTAGTTGGCATTAACTATACATATTTATTCATACACCAGGCTTCTAGCCACAGCAAGTAACACCCTCCTCTCACCTACTCTTTCTGAGGATATGCATCTATGTATTTGTGTATTGACTATATAAAAATATATAACTATATACAATCATATCTATGTAAGTATTAATCTCTCTCTCTCCAGGTATATGTACAAATGGATATTTATTGAGCATCTAAAATATACAAAGCACTCTACCAGGCTTTGTGGAACATACAGGGGAGACAGGACAGATATGTCAAAAAAAAAAAAAAAAACCAAACTAAACTACAAACATGTCTACCTAAAAATTTCTAGTTACCCTTTAAAACCCAACTCCTCTGTGAATCCTTCCTTGCTTTGTTCAAGGAAAATTAGAAATTCTTGCCTCTGTGTGTTCTCACAGAACTTTGTACTTATTTCCTATATATATATATAGTTTCTACAGTATCTGTCCTAGTGTATTGTAATTATTTATTTATATATCTGTCTCCCCCATCAGACTATGAACCTTTAAGTCAATGGACTAAGCAGATTATATTTAAAAAAATATGTATTCCATGCCTGCAAATAACTCTCAAATGGCTTATCAAAAAAATCACGTGTGTGCATGTGCATTTAGAGAGAGGGAGTATGCAAATATGACAAAATGTTAACAACTAGTGAATGTAGATAAAGAGTACATGCAAATATGTTCATTTTACTACTCTTTTCTTTTTAAAATTAGTGCAGCCACTTTGGAAATAGTTTGGTAGTTTTTATTATTATTTTAATTTTTTTGGTGAGGAAAATTGGCCCTGAGCTAACATGTTGCCAATCTTTCTCTTTTTGCTTGAGGAAGATTGTCCTTGAGCTAACATCTGTGCCAACCTTCCTCTATTTTGCATGTGGGATGCCACCACAGCATGGCTTAATGAGTGGTGTGTAGGTCCACTCCCGGGATCCAAACCCACAAACCCTGGGCCGCCAAAGCGAAGCCCATGAACTCAACCACTATGCTACCCAGCTGGCCGCCCATTTTACTATTCTTATAACTTGTCCGTAAATTCAAAATTTTCAAAAATAAAAAGTAGAGAGTTAAATATAAACATTTTGTCCATTTTCTTTTTTATATCTTTTACAGGGCCTGGCACACGATAATTATGCAAAATCTGATAAATGAAAAACTGAAGAAAAGTGATCAATGTACAATTGAGCAGTCAATGAGGACAGGAATCATAGGAAAAGTGGGACTGGTGAAGGGCTTCGAAAGGAGGGTATTAGATCAGCTTGGAAAGGAACAGGTATCATAGGCGGAAGAAACAGCTCATAAAAAGATTTGGAGGTGGTAATGTCCATGGCTTCCACGGAGGAAAAATTCAAAAAGACTGAATCTGAAGTCATAAGACCCAAGTTGTATTCATGGCACTACCAACTCCCAGCTTCATCTTCCTGCTTCAATCCCTTCACTTGTAAATTGGGGAAAATAATATTTAATTCACAAGATGTTATGAGAATAAAATACTAGTAATTATGGCAAAGTATGCAGTACAATGAAAAGTATTTACATGAATGTCAGGTATTTTTATTAAGGGATTGTTAGAGGAGTAATGAAGACAGCAACCTGGTTGGAACTGGGGGTATAATGCAAGGCATCAGCATGATATAATATTGAAAAATCAGGCTAGGACCAAACCCTAGAGACCCCTGCCTCTCAATCCAAAACATTTAGATTTTATTCATAGGGAAATGAGAGCCATGGAAAGATTGTTGAGAATGGAAATTATATAATTTAATGTGGCTTTTCACAACAGTGTTAACTGATCAGGGTTTAGACTAGGGTTGAGTCAGAGGGAATAGAAAGGAGGGGCTGGATTCAAGAAAAATTATAAGAATCAACAGACTTTGGTCTGTATGTATCAAAAGGCAAAAGGACAAGTCCAAAATCACCCTAAGGGCAGCACTTTTCAAACAGTTTCATAGAATGCTAGCCCAGGAAATTCTGGAAAAGCTGTAAAATTCACTCCCATCTTAGATTCAAAATGCACATTACACAAAGGCTCTGAGAAATTATGGAGTAAAGAAACTCACTGTTTAACACAGCCTGAAACTTAGTTGACCTAGTGTTCCATGGAACACACTATGGGAAATGCCGGAAGTAATGTTGCTCAAGTGACTGGTCGAATGAGGGCACCAATAAGAGAAAAAGGGATGTTTAGTGAGTTGCTACTGTTTGGTCATCTATTTTGCTTGTTTTTAGTAGAGAAGGTGGAGTTTCAGACATATTGAGTTTGAGAAGCAAAAGGATATGCAGGTGCATATTAGAAGACAAATAAAAATCAGGGTTTGAAATTGAAGTGAGGTCAGAGTCAAAGATGAAGCTTTGGAAGTCACTCTCATAAAGGTAATTGTTAAACTCATGAGAAAAGATGAGAGACTACACAAAGAGAACAAAACTGAAGAAGACACAGAACTGAAGGCAGCCAAAGAGCTATCTCTATTTGTGTGCCTATTTCTTTTCATGGGTGTGAGCCTATATCTATGTGAGTAAGAGAAAAGAACATTTGTGCATAATTCTATTCTCAATCAAGGATAGAATAGTCACCTCAACTCTTGTCCCCTTTCCATCCAGAATTCTCTTTAGCCCTCTGACATTATTTCTCAGAGAGAAACCAAGGTGAGATTTGGAAGGAAGAGTGGAAATGATTAACAATCCAAGGTTGGGAAAATCCACACAGTTTATAGAAAGTTGACAGTAGGTGGGAATTTAATCTATGGACTTATTGGATTTAATCTATGTTCTTTTATTGGCTTTAGATCAGTGGTTAGTATCCCTGGCTGCACTTGAGAATCATCTAGGTAGTTTTTAAAAATATTGATGCCCCCAGGGCTCCACTTCCAGAGATTTATCTAAATTGTTCTAGGGTGGGGTCCAGTGAGGGTATTTCTTAAGCTTCCCTAGTGATTCCAGTGTATAGCCAGAGTTTAGAACCACTCCTGTAGATCAGGGACAAATCCAACTCACCACCTGTCTTTGTAAATAAAGCTTACTGAAATATAACCATGCTCATTCGCTTATGTATCGTCTCTGTCTGCTTTTGTGCAACAATGGAAGAGCTGAGTAGTTGGGCAGAGACCACACATGACCCACAATGCCGAAAATATTTACTATCTGGACCTTTGCAGACAGTTTTCTGATCCCTGGTCTGAATTAACTGAGTAAGGTTTGAGAAAGAAATTAATGAGACCTAATAATAAAATTTGTTTTAATTCATAATGAAAGTTCATAGAAATTTTAGAATTCCTAGAGAAATGTTCCTTTTTTGAAGATGTTTCCTCCTGCCATAATGTTGTTGAGACATTCCAAAGTTGTTATTGAGGTGATATGAAAAAATATTTTGGGGCTATGTGAAAAATTACTTAACGGAACATTAAAATTTTCCGGTGAACAATTCAATGTTTCCCTATTTTTTCCCCCTTCTTCTGTTAAATGCTTTCTGTCTGGGCCACATAAGAAAAAATGTCAACTTTGCAGAATGATTGCTCAACAAGGAGACAACAGATTTCTTCTAATAGTATTGAAAAAAAATTGGTCAAATTGTATCAGGGATAGAATCTTGGGTACTGTTCCACTGATATTAATTTCTAGCAAAACAAACAAAAAACTGAGACCAAAATAACAAAACATTAGAGTAGGATAGAGGATTTGGGGGGGGGGGGGGTTAGGATTACAGGTGATTTTTTAACACTCCTCTATATTTTCCAAATTCTTTAAATGGTTATCTATTATTTCTTAGTCATAAAAATATTGATCTGTACTTCCTGGGTCAGAACAAAAACTCCAACAATTTTTTCTGGTGGATCTAAGTACCTCTCAATAATGGCTTGAAGGAATAACAAATGTCTGCTGTTACAGAAGACAACACAGTGAAACTTCCCTATTGCCAAAGACTGCAACCCTGCAATAAGTTGGTGCCCTTAAAAACAACCAAATTTCAATATTCTGATTTACATACGACGACTGGAGCTCAGATCGATTAAGTTTGAGAGAGACCATTTGAGAAAATGTCTGTTGTAGAATCTTTTTCACTAATGGAAAAGAATTCACATACACCTTACAACTGACAGCAGAGTATCTCAACATTAATAGTCCCCCGTGGCCCAGGATACTGTATTCTTGGTCATTCAAGAGGATGCAGCACCCTGTGTCTACACAGTTCTATAAAGGATGCTTCTTTACTGAGGGGAAGGGTCTCAATAGTTGGCGAAAAGGCATCTGCTGACTCTGACCTTATTTCGCTCACGGAGAGGAAAAAAAACCAGACTCTGAAACAGCAGCCATAGGTATAAAAATCAATAAACAGTCTTTACTTGTGTCTAGTTGGGAAAGTCTGCTAATTTGTGTCAGTTACCCTCATACAAACACCACCTACCATTTTCAAAAACAAAATAATATGGTAGACACCTGCCCCCAAACATTCTCCTCAATGAGAATAAATATGCTGGAGACTGCAAAACACGTTTACTTTGAAAGAGGATTAAACATTTTAGCAAAGATCCCAGGATAGGATTTTCCACTGTAACAGAACAGACTGTGCCCTCTCCCTGTGAATCAACAAGTTTCAAGTTTCCACCGCAAAACAAGTTTACTACAACACAGGAAAGGTTTTTGGAATATAATTTCGGGAAGGTGAAGAAAGAGAGAGCAAGGCAAAATACAGTTCTCTTAGCTCCTGTGGGCTACATTTCCTTCAATCCCTCCTCTCCTGCCCCCACTCCCCACAGCCCCAGATCTCGTTGTATTTTTATTCTGAGTACCTGCTCCAGTTCATAGGCCTTTGCCTTATCCTCATCTCGGTCTGCGTTCTTCCGATAGGCCAGGCCCAAACCCCACACAGCCAAGATGCTGTACACATTGTCCCGGACCCAGGCATCTTTCTGATCATAGCTGGCTGGAAGCAAGCCAGTCACAGGATTCTGCAGGGTCAAGAAAAAGAGGACAGGCAGGTAACCCTAAGGTGTTAATATGGGGAGACAGAATCTATCAAATGCATTACTTAGCAACTTTGGTCTTCTAATTCCCCACTCCTGAGTTTTATAACCTCTTCTTCTTCTGACCAAGTGCAAGTAAATGCTATCTTGAATAAGGGGAGCCTTACAAGTCTGAAATGTGGGTACTGTTAAAAGAAAGGCGGGGGGGGGGGGGGCGGCGAACGGTTAAGTTGCGCGCTCCACGGGTTCGGATCCTGGGCTGGGACACGGCACCGCACATCAGGCCACGCGGAGGCGGCGTCCCACATGCCACAACTAAGATATACAACTCTGTACTGGGGGGATTTGGGGAGAAGAAGAAGAAAAAAGTAGTGTTTTAACTTTCCTGTTAGAATGATAACCAACGAAAAACCTGCATTAAAAGAGTAAAGAAATAGAATTAACAGTACATACAAAGCACCTCAGGTCTTCACAACCATCTAGTCTTAAGATGGCTAAATGTTCCCCTGGCTCTTTACCATGACAGGAGGGGAAGCAGGTGACTCCCTAACCTCGGGCGGGGTGTGCGTGTCTGTGTGTGTGTGCGAATAAACAAGCTTCAACACATCTGTCAGCTCTGCCTCCCTGGAAGCCAGCTGTCGCCTGCGGGGCGGGGGACTCAGAAGCCATGACTCAGGGCTCAGCGGCGCCTGCCTCCGCTTCTGTTCCCGGCCCAACACCTCTTGGCGTCAGGGTCCTGTAGGGCCTCCTCAGCCGGGGCGCGGCAGACCCCGCTACACACACACGCACGGGGGTTCACCCAGGGTCTCCGTCCAGGAGACACTGCACCTCCTCGGGGATTACAGGCGACACCCCTTCACGTACCTGATGGCACAGGATGGTCTGCTGCACCAGCCTAGCGTAGCCGTCCAGCCGGACGCCGGAGTTACTCCGGCTCCTCATCGCGGCGCGCTTCCAACGCCCTCAGAGAAACGGCCCGGCGCCGCAGGGGCCTCGCTCCTCCAGGGAAGGAGGCTCCAACACAGCTCCACGCACGCTGCGGCAACCCGAGCGCCAGGCCCCGGCAGAGCCCTCTACCGGCTCGGGCTGGGGCCGGCGGTCCCGGCAACGGCGGCCTCTGGAGCCCGCCACAGGCCGGCGCGCCCGAGCGTCCCGCGGTCTGGGCCCCGCCGGAGCGCCCCCGGCGCCGCTCTCTGCCACCCTTACGCCCGTCCGGCCTCCGCGGGACGCTCTTGCATCCTCCGCTCAAATCTCGAAGACCGCCGCGGCCCACAGCCTCCTGGGCGGCAGCCGGCAGCAGGTCACCGGCCGCCTCCACCTCGACAGAGACGAGAGCTGGAGGCGGGGCGGGCACGGGTCCTGGCAGCAGCGTGCGGAGCTCTGGGGATCCCGGCGCGCGCCCCGCCCCCCCGCGCGCCCCGCCCCCCCGCGCGCCCCGCCCCCCCGCTCCCTGAGCCCCCCGCGCCCCGCCCACCAGCGCGCCCCGCCCCGCCCCCCGCAGCCGAGAATGTGTCACCGTAGGCAATGTGCTTTCAGGCGTTTATTTTGGAAACACCTCAAATGACTATTTCAGTTTTCCACACTTGCTGTGCACACAGGATGTTGAGGAGGTTGTTTCTTCTGCTGGACTAGTTTTAGGAACTTACCGTAACTTCAATCCTAAAAGGAAAGACGCACGTTTACGTTCAAGGTCTAAAGCATTGGAATTTCCGGGTCTTTACTGTATTTTATACGTTTGACTAAAAGCTCTGATTAAACTCCTCACTCCGAACGAAACCAAACAAGAAAGAACTTCCTAAGGTACTTTATTGCTTAGAAACTGGCGAATCGGCGGGCTTAGGAAGGAGGGGCCTGTGGTGCGCTTTGAGGAAGCGAGTGGCCCAGGAAGGGAAGGGCTGGCAGGGAGCAGTGCCTCAGGACGGCCTTGGCCTCGGAGGCGCTGGAGGAGATTGTATAACTGCCCTGGAAAGCTCCCTCGTACGCACTTGGGTTACAAGGCTGAGGCAACAAAGACTCAGCTGAAAATAAAAGGGAGAAAGGGAGGCTAGAAAAGAAGCCTATAGATAACGCTGACCACTGGCCGCCGGGAAATCGATCCGCACTCCGGCGGGTGTCCTGGCCCCAGGGCCTTTGCTCCCTCCCTTTACTGCTCCCAACCCCCACCTCTTGATCTCTGCTTATCCAAACCCGACCCGTCTTTCAAGACTTGACTTAAGTACCACCTACTCTCTGAATCGCGGGGTAAGAGAATTAGACCGATTGACCTTTCAAGTCCAACTCCGAGAATCTGCATTCTAAGTCTTCCCTAGCTACCCCACCCAGGCCACAGTGATTTTGCATTTTGGTTTATCTTTTTATTTTTCTAAATTTAGTCTCTCCTCGTAAGCTCCCTCCGTTCCAACCCCCACCCTCACCCCCGCGCAAATTAGCATAAAGCCAGGCACGTAGGAGGTGACTAGCAAATATTTGGTAATATTGACGATTAAGAAGGAGGGAGTGCTCAGAAACTCAGATCTGAGACATTCAGGTTCAACGACCAGTCAGTGATACGGTTAGATACAGTGATACACTTAGAATTCTCCAGCTAATAGTTTCCATTGCAGTCACTAGCTACGCAAATGCCATGACAAGCAAATAAGACACTGTAAGGCCCACGCGGTGGTGGGGGGGAGGGGGTCGGCGAAAAAGTCTTTCCAGGGAAAGCGACTTCATTTTGGAGGAAGGAGCGCCTGACCGTCCCTGCTTTGCCTCTAACTCCCTAACAACTTTCCCTCAGCCTACCGCCTCAAAAGTCCTTTCTCTACCCTTCAAGCTACTCCCCTTCAAGCTACTGCCTTCTCTTTTTCTTCGCCTCACCATCATTTAAAGATGTTTAAAACAATTAAAGTAATATGTGCTTGCTAAAGAAAACTTGGAAAGTATAGAAAAGTAAAGCAAATTACCCATAATTCCTTCACATACACAACCACCCGTTAATATTTTAGTTTAGTTTTTCCCGTCTTTTTATTCCTTCTGCACAGGCCCCCCCAACTTATTTAGAAGTATGAATACATTAGGAATGCTAAAGGTAGAGTGTCACCAAGAAAGGTAACTGGCTGGCTACCAAAGAGGCCTTGCTGCATGGCATTACCTTGGTGCTTTCAACCTCAGTCCAGGCTGGGCCTTGGGTCCTGCAGTCTCAGAAACTTGATCTCCTCAGTGTCCCAGAACTGGTCAGACTCAGGAAGCTGACTCATGCTTATTACCTCCTGAGAGACTGATGTATGAAAACCAGAATGCTTGTTGATAATGAGAAATAGAACTGTGACAGTTTATATCAGCCTGACCACCACATTCCCTCCCTTTAAAAATGTGTAAGCCTCATTCCTTACAAAGTGCTATTTTGTTTTATACAATAACCCTATGAAGTAAATACTATTAACCCCATTTTAGAGATGGAGAAACTAAGGCATACAAAGATTAAATAACTACAAGTCTGCTTTGTCCTTGTTGGCCTCACTGACTCTCCTTATCTATGCTTCCATGGCTCGCTGACACATTCTTTCTTTAAATATGTCAAAATTATCAATCAAGTTATAGTCAAGTCTTGCCAATCTGGAAGCTATTATGTTTTTTGAAGGCTAGTTTTTCATTTCATTCTTTGTATATTAATTTTACAGTTTAACTCTGGAATAAAATTTCATTTCCAAGTTCCTGGGCATATTTTATTGTTGCTCCCTTATATTACCTGGAAGTTTTAATCATACTAATTTTCAAAAATCCAAAAGTTTTAAAGCTTCACATTTTATAAATATTTTTCATGGTTTTACATTTTATGTTAATGTCTGCATTAATCTTCCCTCTAGTAGATGTCCTAAAGTTTGCTTAGCTATTCTCATTATTAATTAATAATAAATCTCTTATTAAATTTCTTGAAAAAATAGTCCATACACTATCTCCTTTGCATTATTTCCCATTCACTTGCTTTAAAAATTGTTTTAAATTGTATAAGTAATATATGGACACATTTTTCATGAAAAAAATTAAAATATTACAGACAAGGTTAAAGTTCTCTATGTCTATCACCCACTATCACAGTCCCCTTTGTCTCCCTTCCCAAAGGCAACCACTGTTATAGGATTGGTTTGTATACTTCCAGATTTTTTCCTGTGGATTTACATATATATCTAGAAATACATATAAAATACTATTGTTTTCTGTGTATTCTTTTAATATAAACAGTATTATACTCTACCTATTGTTGTGCGGATTGCCTTATTCATCCAAACTTATGTCATAGAGATCTAGTCATGTTATTCCATAGAGATCTACCTCATACACTACGGTTTGTGTAGACATTCCTCTATTGATGAGCATTTAGTTTGTTTTCAGTTTAGAACTCTTGAAACAGTACTTCAGCAAACATACGTATATGTCTTCTTATGAATGCGTACAGGTGTTTTGGAAATAGGCATTTAAAAGTTTCGTGTAACCAAAAAGCCATCTAAATTATCTGCACCAACAAGTCGTGTATGAAAGTCTCCATTTCCCCCATCCTTACCAATACTTGATAATAGTAAACTTTAATTTTTGAGTGATCTGATGGGTGCAAGATGGTATCTTACTTTGTTTCATTTACCTGAATACTAATGTCATTGAGCATCTTTTTATGTTTATTTTAATTTATATTTCTTTATATTATGTTTATTTATTTAATTTTATTTCTTCTGGTTAATAACTCTTTATTTCACTTAACATAATTCCCTCAAGGTCCATCCATGTTGTTGTGAATGGGATGATTTTATCCTTTTTTATGGCTGAGTAGTATTCCATTATATATATATAGCGCATCTTCTTTATCCACTCATCAGTTGATGGGTGCTTAGGTTGCTTCCGCATCTTGGCTATTGTAAATAATGCTGCAATGAACATAGCGGTGCATGGGACTTTTGGAATTGCTGATTTCAAGTTCTTTGGATAGATACCCAGTAGTGGGATGGCTGGGTCATATGGTATTTCTATTTTTAATTTTTTGATAAATCTCCATACTGTTTTCCATAGTGGCTGCACCAGTTTGCAGTCCCACTAGCAGTGTATGAGGGTTCCTTTTTCCCTACAACATCTCCAACATTTGTTACTTTTTGTTTTAGTTATTTTTGCCATTCTAACAGGTGTAAGGTGATATCTTAGTGTAGTTTTGATTTGCATTTTCCTGATGATCAGTGATGATGAGCGTCTTTTCATGTGCCTACTGGCCATCTGTATATCTTCTTTGGAGAAATGTCTGTTCATGTCCCCTTCCCATTTTTTGATCAGGTTCTTCAATTTTTTGTTGTTGAGTTGTGCGTGTTCTTTATATAGTATGGAGATTAACCCTTCGTTGGATATATGACTTGCAAATATTTTTTTCCCATTTGGTGGGTTGTTTTTTTGTTTCAATCCTGTTTTCCCTTGCCTTGAAGAAGCTCTTTAGTCTGATGAGGTCCCATTTGTTTATTCTTTCTATTGTTTCCCTTGTCTGAGAAGACATGGTGTCCGAAAAGATCCTTTTGATACTGATGTCAAAGAGTGTACTGCCTATATTTTCTTCTAGAAGCCTTATGGTTTCATGTCTTTCCTTCAGGTCTTTGATCCATTTTGAGTTTATTTTTGTGAATGGTGAAAAAGAATGCTCAATTTTCATTTTTTTACATGTGGCTATCCAGTTTTCCCAGCACCATTTGTTGAAAAGACTTTCTTTTCTCCATTGTATGCCCTCAGCTCCTTTGTCGAAGATTAGCTGTCCATAGATGTGTGGTTTTATTTCTGGGCTTTCAATTCTGTTCCATTGATCTGTGCACCTGTTTTTGTACCAGTACCATGCTGTTTTGATTACTGTAGCTTTGTAGTATGTTTTGAACTCAGGGATTGTGATGCCTCCAGCTTTGTTCTTTTTTCTCAGGATTGCTTTAGAAATTCGGGGTCTTTTGTTGCCCCATATGAATTTTAGGATTCTTTGTTGAATTTCTGTAAAGAATGTCATTGGGATTCTGATTGGGATAGCGTTGAATCTGTAGATTGCTTTAGGTAGTATGGACATTTTAACTATGTTTATTCTTCCAATCCATGTGAATGGAATGTCTTTCCATCTCTTTATGTCGTCATCAATTTCTTTCAGGAAAGTCTTGTAATTTTCGTTGTATAGGTCTTTCACTTCCTTGGTTAAATTCACCCTGAGGTATTTTATTCTTTTTGTTGCGATTGTGAATGGGATTGTGTTCTTGAGTTCTTTTTCTGTTAGTTCATTGCTAGACCATAGAAATGCTACGGATTTATGTATGTTGATTTTATACCCTGCAGCTTTGCTGTAGTTGTTGATTATTTCTAATAGTTTTCCTATGGATTCTTTGGGGTTTTCT